CCCCCCCCCCCCCACACACACACACAAAGGCGGAGCCCGAGGAGCCGCCGCCGCAGCCGCGCCCCGCGCCGCGCGCGCCGCCGCCGCGCCCCTCCGACTTCCCGGTTCTGGGGCGCCAGGACGGCGGCGACGACGGCGGGCCGGCGGCGTTTGAAAGAGATGCTACGATGGACGCGCTCGAGATGCTGAAACTGGGTGGGTGCTGGGTTGGGGTGGCAGGGAGGTGTGTGCATGCGAGTGTGTACGTGTGTGTGTGTGTGTGTGTGTGTGTGTGTGTGTGCGGCGCGCGCATGCATCTTGGGGGGGGGGGGGGCGTTTGCTTGGCTGTAGCCCAGGGTTTCTCTCGGGCTTGTTTGGGGGGTCTGCGCTGCAATTGATGGGCTGCGCGGCGCATCAATTGTAAGGCCGGGAGGGGCGGCGCCGGTGGTCAAATTGAGCCACTGTTTTGGGTGCTGTCGCACGGGAAGGGGGGGCCTCAGTCGAGACGGGCCCATGATCGTCGCTACCATGTTGTTGGACCCTGCGACCAACCCAACGGGGCGTCCGACCAGGGGGCGGGATGGAGGCACGCCGGTTTCCGATACGTTCGCAAGCAAGACAGGCGCCACGCACATTCGAATCCCGCCTGTGCCGGCCGCTTTTTTGTAACGTTCCTGCACTACCGTTCCACCACCCTCCCCTCCTCAGGCGAGTTTGACTCGCAGTCAAACCACCTGCTGTTCGAGTGCGTCGATGTGAGTAGTGGCTCGGCTGCACCCCCTGCGCGACGATTAGTGTGCCGGCGCAGCCGGCGCTGCGGCGCCCGGGTGTATCCCCCTCCATGTCCTCACGGCTGCGCGGCGACCGCTTCCGAGCCATGCTCAACCGCCTCCAACTGCCCTCATCCGCTCTCAAGCGACCCGAGCCGAACGCAACCGACCCCGACCGACCCCCACCGCAGCTGTACATGTTCACGAAGAGCGGCCGCAGTGTGTCCGAGTGGTTCGACTCCACGGTGGGTTCCAGCAAACGCCTTTGTTGTAGGGCCGGCGTCCAGGATGCGTGCCTGGCGCTGCCATGAGGCCTGTGAACGCGCCTCACGGCGCCCCCCCCTTCCTCGGAGCGCGGTTGAGAAGCATGCAGCGTCCCCAAACAGCCAGAGCAGACGTCAACTAGCTTCCAACCAGCTACCTGTGTGCCGCCTGCGGCTTGCGTTGTGTCGGAATCAGACCGCTCTGCACTTTGCCCGCCTTCGACCCCCCCCTGAACCCCTCCAACCAGCGCCCCGCCTCAATCTTGTCCAAAGCAAATCGTGCTGCACTGACACCGTGACTCAGAGAGCTTGCCACCCCCTGACGCGCCATCCTTCTTACTTCACATCCCATCGAGTCCAACCCGCAGCCGCCCACCACTGCACCTCTCCTCCCCCCCGAACGCACAACCACGAACTCACCTACAAACAAAAACACCACATTCACGCAAAATTCACCACACAAACAACCACGCACCATTAGATGGGCACGTATGGCACCATCGCCCAGACGCGCGTCTTCAAGGATCAGGAGGCGGTGGCCGTGGCGTTCGATGACGTCATCAGCGCCGTGTACTGCAAGTGAGCGCCCGCCCCGCGGATCCCGGCCGCCCGCACCGACCCCGCGGTCTCTCATTTTGCATTGCATCGTGTGGCTGTGGGAGGGGGTCTGCCGTCAGGGGCGAAGAGGGCCCCTCTACCCTTGCCATTTCTAGAGGCATCCCCGCCGCCCGGCGCCGCGGCCCCGGCCGCCGCCGCTGCTGATGCGTGATGACGTCACCCGCTCGTCACCTCCTCCAACCCCCGTAAGGATGTACTACCACAACAAAATCGTGGACGACCCCGCAGCCGGCCTCTTCCTGCGCAAGCGGTTCCAGGTGGGGTCCCCGCTGCCGCCACCGGCGGCGGCGGCGCCGAGGAAGCTGAGTGGGCGCGATCGCAGATCCGGGCGCGGCCCCGGCGGCCGAGGGCGAGGCCTGGGCCATGTTATTGTTCCTCACAGGCCCGCCTCTCGGCTGCCTCCCGGCTCCACGCGCCGGCCCGAGCTGCGTCTCCCCGCCCGGCTGGGCCGAGAGCCGCGCCCGCGCGGCGCCATGCATGAAGCGCCATCGCGCGACCGCTGGCTCGCGAAGGGCCCAACCCGCCGCCAACAGCCGCCAACGCTGCCAACCGCTGTCAACCGCCGCGCAGGTTCACTACCTGGCCGAGTTCCCCACCGATGACGTCATGGAGGCCGCCTGCCCCGACTACGAGCCGCCGGGCGGCTTTCCCAGCCGCCGGCCGGGCCAGCCGGGCGGCAGCGGGGCATCGGCGGGCGGGTGGGTCTCGCCCCTCGCTGCTGTTTGCCGACGGGCGCCGCGAGAACCCAGCGGCGCGGGCGTCTTTGGGGCAGCCCGCCGGACGGGGTCGGGCCGGATGTGTGCTCGCCTGGCAAGCAGAAACGCCATCCATCTGAACCTCAATCCAGCACCCTCGGCTTGCACCTGCGGGCGGGCCGTCGATCCGCCCCCTCATCACTCGCCCCGACCCGCCGCACCTGTCTGCGCCCCCCCCCCCCAAAAGGCCC